TGGTGTTGTTGCCACAACATAATTGAAAGGCAGCAAAGCCCTCCTTCACCTCTCCAGCCCCCAAACCACAGGATCTGGTGCTGTGCAAAGCCTCCAAAAGATGGATCACAGTGGAGAGGGGGTAAACTGAAGTGAAACTCACTTGGTGCATGTCCTAACTGAGGAAATCGACACCGAGTCAGTACCTAAGTCACTACTGAGGAAGGAAACATTAAATTAGAACTGAGGCTTTTATCTGATCCTGAAGTTTCTAAATATCTAACAAATGTGCAAAGCACAGATTAAAAACACAAAATAAAATTGATTTACAAAGAAGGATGCTGATAATGACATTCAGAAAAAAAAGTTTCCCCAGACACTACTGATTCCAGTGCACAGGGAAGGACAATGTCCGGGTTACCCTATTTGGCTTCCAACTCCACAACATGTTTCTTATAATAACACAATCTTGTTTTGTGGGACAAAACACAAAATGAAGATATAGTCAGCCCTCTGTATCTTGAGTTCTGCATCATGGATTCAATCAACCACAGACTGAAAATATGCAGAAAAAATAACTGCATATGTACTAAGCATGTATAGACTCTTCTTGTCATTACTTGCTTAACAATAACTGTGACAACAATTTGCATAGCATTTACATTGTATTAGGTATTATGGGTATTCAGATACGATTGAAAGCTTAAGGGAGGATGTTCACGGGTTCTATGCAAATACTATGCCATTTTATATAAGGGACTCCAGCACCTGAAGATTTGAAATCTGCAGAAGGGTCCTGGAACCAATTGCCCACAAATACTGAGAGATTATCATAATATGCTCCTATCGACAACCTACCAAGAATAAAAGATCTTTTTTTTTTTTACCTGGTTGGCTAATCTAAGAAGTTTAATATTCCTTGCTGCTACTTCTACAGAAACTTCCTTTAAGAAAGGTCAAGTATTTCCATCCTGGTTTGTGTAAGTGGAGAAACTGAAGCACAGGCATTGAGCTCTTACAAGTAGTGGTAACTGCCCCGGCCTCCTAACAAGCAAAATCATACTTCATCTTCTTCTGTGCGCTGCCCAGGGAAGTACAGACAGGGCAGCTTGTCCCCGGACCTGGGTTCCTCTAAACAACACTCATCGGAATTATTTCCAAAGACGTATTCACCTCTAACATGGATGGCTTCACAGAGATGGCAGATGTCACGCAGGTGGTTCTGTTCTCAGACATGAAATCAATCTACTTGCCAATGATCATGAATTAATATTCATTTTTTATTTCCAACATAGCAGAGGAGTTCCCTACAATCACACAACCAAAGGACCATTGTGCAAAGAATAAAGCATACAAGAGATAATGTAGAACACAATAACTAACAGAATGCTGTGGAGGAAGCAGCTTACACTGTACAGACACACATAGGTACACACACACACACACACACACACACACAAACCACAAGTTCAAGTCTAAAGTAATTGTTTGAGGATGTAATCTAAAGAGAAAAATCCTTCAGAGTCAGATCTCTGTTTAAAATCTGCCTCCTGCCTGAGCTCTATTCTTTAGGTTCATTTTCTAAAAAACAGAAATAGGCATGATGACATCATAGGACTGTCATGAATATCAAGTAAGATGGACCATACAGTAATGCTTAGCATAGTGCTTGAAAGACAAGAAACATCAGCAACTTTCTCTTTCCCTCCCTTGTGTGCTACTGAAAGGTTTTTTTTTTCCCCTCTCTTCAGTTTTACTGACTTAAATGGGAATTCTTACAGCAGTTTTTAAAAACTACACATTATATAGTCATTTGCACATATGTATCTGTTGCAGCACCATAATTTGCAAAGAAAAAAGAAGTAGTAATTTTAAGAGAAAAGTACCAGCTCACTTGCACTGCCTTCTAAACCCTTCAGCTTTACAGTCTACAGAGACTATTTGCTCTAGGGGTGCAAGTTCTGAAATAAAGGAAAAATTCTCATGGGAAAAAACGGTTCCCAAAAAAGCCAACAAAGGAAAGATAATGAGGGGAAATCTAGGGGTATATAAAGGAGTTTATTTTACTTAACAAAGTAAAAGTCAAGCAAAATGAATAATCTGCCTCCAGAAATAGTTATTTAAAGGCTTTTTGTAAAGGGCTCTGGTTCCTAAAAAGACAGGAGTCACTGCATATGCCCACCCACTCTTCATTTTATTTTTAAACCCTAGCTTATATGTTCCTTAGCAACAAGAGGAGCAGATGAGACCCCCCTACACACAGAGACACACACACCCTCTCTCCCCAAGCCCCTTCTCTTTTTCTATCAAGTTCCATTCTGCAAATATCCATGTGCTTCCAAAGACATTTTTTAACCTACCTGCAAATTGCCACTTACCCACTTCGAAGGATCCCCTGTACACAAGCAACCCCCCCTCCTACTCTAGCTGAACTCTTCTGTGTAGACTCCACTCAGGAAGGCCTTTCTGACTCCTCTCCAGTAACTCCCACCAGTCCCCGTCCTCAGCTGACCCCCAGGAGCGAGGCAGAGTTGTCCTCACTGAGAAGCCCACACCCAACCTGAGCCCAACTGCTCTTTCCTTACATACCTTTCATTAGCCCTCCAGTGAAATCTGTCAGGCCTGGCTGCATCCCTGTGTCCAGCACAAATGACCACCATGGCAGTTGGGTAGGCCATTTTTTATAGTTAAACAAATTATTAAAATAAATAAATACCAGTGATCAAAATGCAGAGGCTCCTGGACAAACATGTGCCAGGTGAAATCACCCACTTCCTCCCTGTCTTTCTCCTGGCTTGGGAACAGCCTGGCCTCGTTTGGCTGGGCAGGGTGTATGAATTCAAAGGTCAATAGTTTAGCCTTTGGAGGGAAAAAAAAAATAGGGCAGCAATCCTCAGACATTGCTGTGCTTCAGCATCACCTGAGGAACTTGATAAGAAGTCCCACCCACAGAGAATTCAATGCTGTAAATCCAAGGTGGCAAACATTTTAACCAGCAACCTGGGGTGACGTGTATACAGGTATTTCACTAAATTGGAGGCTTTAATTAAAAAGAATTGATGTCCAAGAAGTAGAAGCCACTTCTACGAACTTTAAGGCAGATGCAGTATTATTTATTATCACTTTCTAGAAAAACACTGCCTATGTGTGAGTACACACTTACACATGCCGGTTGCCTGTGCAAGACAACCCAGAAAGCCACAGTTCATACAGAGTACATTTCCAGGAGAGAGGCTCAGAGAATGACCCCTGCCAAGAGGCAAACTGGAATGATTTCCCTTGCAAAGGATAGCTTTGTAGCTCCACCCAATGAGAAGTCTGATGAATACTGATCACTCAGGAGGATCCCTCAGTCCAGAAGCCCAGGATCCAGACCCACCATGTGCTCCCCATAATCATCCCCTCCCAATGCACATCACCTACATTAGGCTGAATGTGGTCCCTGCTCCCCTAAGGGCCAGAAGGGCCATTGAAGCTAGGAAGCAGAGCCGGCAGTGTCCTAACATACCTCCCTAGAGCGGCCCCACTCCCCACCACCTGCCTATTTTTAGAAACTGAAAATATAAAAAGAAAGATCCACTTGGATCTGATCTGTGTAAGTAACTAAGAGAACAACACAGGTGGAAACTCCCTGAGCATGCAGGAAGCAGAATGCATGCACGGGATGCAAAAGCTGTCACCACACCAGGAACACCTTTGGGAAGCATCAGAAGTCACATTTAGACACACAGCACATGCCCCAATGCCGGGGCCTCCAGTCCAGGCAATGCCTGTGGGGATCCCAGTGATTCACACACCTGCCCCCATAAATAAAGCACACCCTCGCAAACCCACACACCTCTGTCATCTGCTTTTGCTTACATAACAGCACATGGTGTGACAGGCCTAATACTTTAGATGGTATTCTGGAAGGTACTGCTAACTCAAAAGGAGTTGGGTTATAAGACTGCTCTCACTGACCCCTTTTCAAGAAACACTCCAGAAACTGAAAATATAAAAAGCACAAATATCAAGTACAAATCTTTATAAATCTATGCTTGCTTCTCACCTCAACTTCTAAAACCAATAAGCATTAAGTATAGTCTCAGCATCTTCTTGCCTGAGGATCTTGTGGGGGGGGGGGGGGTCGCAGAGAATGTACTGAATCTTCATTTCTCATGTTTGGGTCCTGACACAATTAGGGGTTATTTTTTGTCCTAATTTGATGGCCATCTATCTCACACTGTCCTTGTTTCACAGATACATCCATCTTTAGGTACATGTGAGGGTCAGTTCTCCCCCTAACCCCTCGCTTGCCAGTAGGCTCCCCACATCATCTTCTGGTCACACCCAGCAGAGAAGCAGAGAGCACATGTATGCGTAACCCTCATAAGCAGTGGCGTATCTACAGATAAGAGACCGGTATCCTACTCTCCCTTAGTGGAGGATTTTCAGGCAGGTATAGATAGTGCTGTTCTTTTCTGCTCGGGGAAGTGACCTCGGTCATCAAGTAGTGCCAAAGGTTCATCAAGTGAAATCTGGAGGGTGGAGCAAGTGGTTGAGAGGACACTGGCTTAGGGGCAACTTTGATGACTTTTCTCAAGAAAACTAGGAACCTCTGGGTCTGTGCCTCCCCCCACCCCCCACCCTCTCTCTCCTTCTCTCTCTCTCTCTCTCACACACACACACACACACACACACACACACACACGTATTTTTGTTATCCTGACCTCAGGGACTGGGTCTTCTCTCCTATTACAAATTCCCCCTCCTTAGGCGTTAGGGGGAATCCAGGCTCACGTAGCTTCCCTCCAGCCCAGAATGATGGAATGAGAAGAGAACAACACATATCGAGAGAGAGACAGAGAGAGAGAGAGAGAGAGAGAGAGAAGGGGGAGGGAGAGGGAGAGGGAGACGAGGGCAGGAGAGAGACTGAGACTATGAGGCACCCCAACAACTCTGTGGAAGCGCCTCTTGGAGAGAAGAGTGGCTCCCCGCCCTCGGCGGCACCTGTCTGCGGCTCCTGGGCTCCCGGCGCCTACCTGTAAGAGACCTGCTTCCGGAAAGTTAAGTTCCTCAGCTTCTCCTCCAGCGCCTCATCCTTCTCCTTCTGGCCGGCGACCGCGGGCTCTTCTAGGGCAGCGGCCCCCGCCGCAGCCGCTGCTCCTACGCCCCGCGGGTCCGCGCCGCCCTCGGCGCCCAGGCAGCAGCTCCCGGCGCCGCTTCCGCTGCTGCTGCTGCCGCCCGTCGCCCCCTTCTCCTCTCCCGCCGAGGAGCTGGGGTTCATGGCGACCGCTCTGGCGGCCGCGGAGGGAGCCGAGGCGGCGTCGCTGTAGAGGCCCGGCCCGCGGACGGCGCTGGCGGCGGCGGCGGCGGCGGCTGCAGGAGCCCGGGCAGGTCCGCGCGCCGCTGGCAGGGGCAGCAAATGGCAGCCCCTTCCCGCAGCATCCATCCGCGGCTGCACTGCACCGAGGCATTGTGGGAAACTCCGTGCCTCCACTCCCCCTCCCCGACCAATCAGAGGCTACCTCTCTCCTTCTCCCTCTCCCTCCCCCGGCCAGCCCGCGCCCTCCGGCCGCCCCCCACCCCCAAGCCTTTCCCTAAATCCTGAGCAAAGGCAAGGGCTGAACCAGAACTCTGCCCGGAGGCGACTGGCTGCCAGAGAGGAGGAGAAGAGGGAACGAGGAGCCGCCGGGCGAGGGGCGCTGGGGCACAAACACTGGCATCAGGGAAGAAGAGCGCCCGGGGAAACTCGGAGGAGAGCTTGCCGCGCCCTGGTTAAAGCAGGAGGGAACGGGGACCAGGACCAGAGAATTGCTCTGCGCTGGCAGTTGCCCGCGAGCGGCGGCGCCCACCTTGGTCACAGACTCCTGAAGCCCAATGCCCAGGGCAGTATTCCCTCCCGCGCGGTTTTGGGGAGGGCAGAGCCGGGGCCAGGCAGAAGCCTCCAGAGCTGGGTAACATTCGGGGAACATAATAAGAGCGTGGTCGGTGGGAACCTTGGAGAGAATTCGTTTGCAATATAAATTAAGGGGATGGGGTGCCAAGCGCCTGCCTCTTTTCTGATGAGAAAAGTGGGACCCCAGCATCCTTGAACGCCCCCGCCCACTTCCTTGCCAGGTGCATCCCAAATACGTAGTAGGCGCTCCCTAAACAGTTGTTCTTTTGAATCAGATCACCGGGTCCTCAGTGAAGCAGAAAGGCTGAGAGCATTCGGGAAGTAGAAGTGAGGACCCGAAGGAGAGCAGGGGCTCGCCCAAGAACGTTTCAAGCTATCAGGACCCCAAGGCTGAAACCCTATCTTGCAGGCTCTGCGGAAGCTAACTGTACACCTCGTGCCCAGTTTCTTTCTATGATTATAGAAAATTCTGTGCGGTTTGAACGGTGCGCTACAAAGTGTTTTAAAATAGACCACTTTCTAAATTAGGGGTTTCCTCCCAAGAAATAACCGCTGTCAGCAAACATGAGAAACACCTCAAAGTAGATGTTTGTAACCAAACTATACACGTCCATGTATGCTGCTGTAAGAAACCCGACCATGAGGAGTTGCAGGGTGGCACTGCGTGACTAGGAACACGGTTTTTGTTTGTTCCTCTAAATTAGGAGACTGAGCAAGCTACCTTAAACATCTTCCAACTCCAACATTCTGTAATTCTCCTCACACTGGTATATTACAATAAGATAAAGGCAAGGGCATTTCCAGAGGAGTGAGTAAAGGTTATAAAAATAAAAACAGCTAGCAATTATTAAGCCCTTGCTTTTACATGACAAGTGTTGTGCTAAGCACTTCACACATCCACCACCATACGTTTTTGCAACACCCCCTCAAGTGTGAGTAGCTTTTCTCATTGCTCAAGCATGTGCAAGTAGAAATTGGCAAAGCTGGGAATCATGTCCAGGCTGCGAGATGGCAGGTCTTTACACTTCACCCAGAGGCGATCACTCTTTCTACAGAGGAGACCCTCAGGTATTTCAACAGCAAGATCCAAACGTTGAGGGGATCCCTAAGACCAAGCAAATGTTGTCATAATTGAATTGCTGGACTCACTTTCTCATGACTCTTGCTCCCAGTCATACCTTCTGTATCCATTCCCCACATGACTTCAAGATATTTCTGCTATGCTACCCCTCTACTTTAAAATGTTCTGGTTTTATCATATTGTCATTAGTGTAAAGTCTAACATGTTATCTTCTCTTCCTTCTTGTGTCATCATCCCTAATATTACTGTTTACTCCCACACCTCCATCAGATCTTTAGAAACCTCCATTCTAGACCATGATGGACCCCCATCCAATAGGCTCCTACTCTACTATTCTAGTAAGCTTGGACCACTATAACTGTTTGTCACTTGTCTGTCTCTCCCTGTGTATGTAGAGGCTGTATGCTGTCATATCCCCATGATCATAAATAAGCATACAATGTAATAACATACCAAGTTGTGTATATTGTAAGCCACGGTTAAGTGTGTGTCAACAAAAAAGGAAATGTACATCATTTTGAACATATAAACATATGCTTCAACTACTCATTATAAAAGAAATCAATTTTAAACTATAATAAGATATTATTTGCAGAATAAATAGTTTGATAGTGTGGGGGTAGGAAAACTAACCCCTTTTCAAATTGTTGGTATAGCTTAATTGGTACAGTCTCTCTGATGGGAAATTTGGCAATATGCATCAACATTTGAAATGCACATTCTAATTAATATACCAATTCTACTTCTAGAAATTTGTCCTCTGCCATTCTTGTAAGTGTACTCAAAACTTCGACTGGAATCAACCTAGATCATTAATTTATTGTTATAATACTAATGTATTTAGCTAGTATATTAGTAATAGTATAAGTTATAATTACAAATTAATTTATTATTGTTAATAATAATTACTAAGTTATTATGCCTGCAAAAAAATGGAATTCTCTGGAAAGAAATAAAGCAAATAAATAAAAGAAATAAAGCAAACTGACATATAATATAAAACAATCTCAAAACATAAGGTCAATTTAAAAATAAAAATTAGATTCAACCTAACTAGTCAGTATGCAACCATTTATGGGGAAAAAAAAGAATGAATATACACATACGCCTGTGGAGACACCTGAGTAAACAGTGACACCCGAGCAGAGTTGCATGGCCCTCACTAGAATCTTGAGGCTTTGCTGATTAAATCAATACATACCAACAGGAGACAGAATGTCTCCCAGACTAACAGGAAAGCCAGCTGGACCTATCAGGTGTGTATTTGCATGTTGAAAGAGTGCATCAGCGGATTGCTCAACAAAGGAAATGGGGTTTAAAAAACATCCATTGCCTGTTCACCCTAACTTTAGCAGAGACACCTGGAAAGCACAATTTCAGCATGAGACAAAGAAGTTCTGTTGTGGGGATAACCTTCCCAGAAGTTGCTTAAAATATCAGTCATCTTCTTAGAAAATTTCTTTTCTTTTTTTTTTATTTTACTAAGCAATTTTTAAATTATTCATTCAGCTTCTGACTTACCTTGATACTAAAAAAGTGCAATTCTTTGAAATGGATCAAAACTTTCTAATCACAGAAAAGGAAACTGATCTTCTGATTTAAGCATGCATCTTGTATGATTTTTGAGTATGCAAATAAGAAAACAGGCATCTCTGGGTATGTTAAATCATTCAGCTTCTGGACCTGTAAATCTAATCCCTCTTCTCAGATGGACAATATCACCTTCACCAGGTGCAGAGTGGGGGAGGGGTGGACTCATCTTTATATCATTACTGTTCTATCTCAAACAAGTATCATCCCAGATCTTCTTCAAGATATTGCACCTAGGGACATTCTGTTCACAGGAAAAAGAAGGTTTTGTCTGTCTTTGTAGTTCTGTCTGTCTCCTGTGACATACTGTTTGAAGTGGATCCCTTAGGGAAGGAGTTCATCCTTGGTTCTAGGTTATGTAACTAACTCTTTTGGCAGCTATGAGGGAATGTAGATCACCTCACTCACCCCACAGCAGGACTCTTCCTTCTGGTGGGTGGAACTCTAAGAATAGAACTAGATTGAGCTCAAGCACCACCCTGTTAAGTCTCCTACCTATGCCATTGGTACAGAGGCTGTGCCAGAGTCTAGCCCTCAATGGAGGAGGCGGAGACAGCCGCCGAGCTAGGGAGGAGGCAAATGGCAACTGGAGTGTCCCTTGAATAAGCAGAGGAACAAGGGTGTGGAAGATGGGAGTGGGGAGTGGGCAACCATTCTGGAGAGGCACAAGACCAGTCTTATACATTCTGCTGCTTCTCATCATCCAGATCTTACTTCGGAAGCCTCCCTGACACTGCCTAAACTGCCCTTCCCTGCACAAGACCACATAACTTTGATTTATTTCCCTCAAAGCACTTCCTAGTGTTTAAGCATTGTCAGTTTCCTTCTTTGACTTTCTTCTATTATTTGAACACAGCTCTTTTAGCTAATGTTCAAAAACTGCTATGCACAGTAGGTGAACAATAAATATTTATTGAATGAATGGCTCTCACTCAACATTCATTTGCCAAGAAGGAAAAGCAGAGGTCCAGTTGGGAAGGTGCTAGGCTTATAAATTTACTAGCCAGTACAGGAGAAAGAGAATTTTTGTGTTAAATCCAGAGTGAAAGATTAGATTCTTACTTAGATCCTTGCCATATGAAATATAAAGCTATAGTGATAGATGGTTGAATTAGAGTGGAAAACAGTTTCTTAGGTTCTGCTGATAGGGATCCTTCCCATCGAGAATCTCTGAACTTGATTTAACTACAAATAATAGTCCTATATTTCCAGGAGAGAAAGGGTCCCTGATATCACCCAGTCCTGTCCCCCATTCATGCATGGCACTCCCATGGCATCTGTGATGGTGGACAATTGAGGTGATGGAGGAATCACTGCTGTCTGAGCAACCCCATCGTTTTCAATAAGCTCTGTCATGATGTTCTTTCCAGTTTTCACCATTATTCCTCATTCTAACAGCTGGTGCAACACACTTACACAAATCATATAATCATCCATGTTTCTGTACTTTAGCAGCTAAGCTGAGCAAGGGGCAAGTTGAAGGAATTAACATTTATTTCCAATAAATTTCCTCTTGTTAATGTTCTGACCATCATTTACCTATTCAAAAATCTTTGGATCTGGAGTTTGTCATTCATTACATTCACTAGCCCACTGGGTTACTTATTCAAGAGCAGGCCTGATATGAAATATATCCAATAAAGTCATCAATAAATCTCCTCATAAAAAGAATAAGGTTGTAGTCAGAGGGTGCCCTGTGCCCCTAGAAACCTCCATCCAGACTGACAGCCATTACTTTCGCTGGCAGTTACTAAGGGTCCACATATGATACCTACACCCTGTTGTAGACGCCAGCAGGAAAAAGACTACAGGCCCTGCTTTCTTGGTGCTAAATAACCTAGTGCTCTATTGTGAGCTTTTGTGTACAGTTATTAAAATTCACAT